TACAAAAAGATGAGTTTTCCATTGTATCTTGTTACTTTTGGAGAAAAATGTGAGGCACGAAGTCGATAGTCCATTAACCCGCGCGGACAGAGGGAGTGGCTGTTTATCAATGAGCCTCTTTAACTTGGCGCAGCACAGTTAATTAAAGCTCCCATTAACTGCAGCTAACGGCAAGAGAGCCAAGCCAGCTGAAAGTGCAGTGTGCAGGCTCGCATTGTTAAGGAAAACTTTGAGATTGTAGCATAGCAGGTCAATTTACAAGTGACAAGTGATTTCAATGGGTTCTCTTCACCCATAAACCATACAGCAGTGTTCCCCAACCTTTTTAAGCCATGGCACACCACCAGCTGAAACTGAACTCTACACAGCCTTTATTAACGATGCAACGTCTTTCTCATCAATGTGTTGTATATAGAAAATCAAATAGGAACAAAAAAGTCTAATTGTCTCACATTATTATAATTTTCACATAATTTTGATCAAGTAGGTGATGTTGGATTGTTTCCCGAGGCACACGATTAAAGATCTCAAGGCACACTGGTCGAAAAACACTGCTATACATTATGGCGCACACGATGTCACAGACCCTACCCTTTATATAGTAAGTAAGTAATCCTTATTTATATAGCGCCTCTCACAGACCAGAGTAACAAAGCGCTTTACAGTTGTTGTGGGTATCTGTCAACTGTATCTGAGTGAGCTTAGATTTGAGCATGCTTGCCATCCATGAACTAATGTAACCACGACGGATGTTTTACCTCCTCCCACTGCCTGCACCAACCCAGGACCAAACTCTCCACCATGGGAGATAGGGCCTTTCAGGCAGTAGCCCCCCGGCTCTGGAATGCCCTCCCAGAAACCCTCAGGGCCCCACAAAGTGTGGAGGCTTTTAAGAAAGGCCTAAAGACATTCCTATTCAAACAGGCCTTCTAGATATGTACAGTAATTATGTTTTATTTTATTTTATTTTTTTCCTGATGTTATATTTGATGTATTGTTTTTATGTTGTGTATCTTGGGGATGTTCCCTGTTTTTGTAGCACTCTGAGGTTTCCCTGAAATGTAAAGTGCATTATAAATAAAATCTATTATTTTAAATGTTTTAACCCTTATGGACCAATGCCAGTGGGTTTTCTGTTTTATTTCTTGTGTTTGAACTGTTTGAGTCTCTGATCTGTGTAAGCGAATTAAACGGTTATGTAAAGTCCTCATACATAACTACTGTTGTGATTTAGGGCTATACAAGAATACATTACATTGAATTGACTAACACAGAGTTTGTTATCAGTTCGGGACACTCCACATTTCGTTGCCCTGTTTGTTTCCTGGGTTATTGAAGTGTATCTGGGACATGTCATGAACTTTCACCCCTGAAGCATTCAATTCCCAGAATTCCTCAGTGGAGTGTATCAGGCTTGGCGCGGCATGCCTCAAAGAAGGCAGTGTTTGAAGGAAGTCCGGCTCTAATTATAAACACTAGCATTAGTATGACACAGGAGGAGCAGTGGAAAGTCTGTCTCCACTGTACAGAGCCGGGGTTACAGTGGCCGCCATTGAGGTCTATGGATGTAAACAGGGACAGTAGAGAGCCTGTCTAGACATTAATAATGATCCAATCACACGATCAGTGACACCATCGACCTTTATGTTACTCATCGACATATTGAACTGACGTGGTACACAGCTGAAGTCAAGCAATAGGCAATGATACAGTATGTTTTTTATGGTCATAAATTAAGACAAGTGTAGTATATTGGTGAAGGACTTGACAATATTCAATGATGGACCACAAGCATACCATTGACAACTGTTAAGGTGTTAGTCCTTTAAATAGTTTCAGCACCATCTACTGCATTCTGTGTGCATTTTGACACCATTAAGGCATCTAACATTATAGAAAAACTTCTGCCTGGTAGTTCAATATCTGGTTGCCCAGACGCTGCTGTCCGGACCCATTGCCCTAGTGACATTTGAGGGAATTGAGAATAAATTTACCTGCACAGACAATAAAAGACCTCAAATACCATATGGATGGCTTAAGCAGTCCAAACTAGTTTAAAGCCGAGGGCACATCACCCATGAGAAGCCATCAGAATTATGCAGTTGCATCTGTCTTACCTTGGAGAACACTGGTGGGGGACACTTTTATCAAAGCAGGTTTCTCATTGGTCTGTTTCCATCCATAAACAGACCAATTGATTTTCCTTGCATAATTGTGTGTTTTATGCACAAAGAAAGTCAAGACACTAATTTCTAATTAAGTTATTTTTTATTCTACACAATCAGTTTTATTAATAAAAGGCACTGATGCACAATAGGTGCATGTCGAAGAGTTTAGTTATTAGTCTATTAGTATTATATTATAAATGTAATTAGTCTTATTGTGCATGTTTTTAGTGATAGGCATAACTTGAGCACCCAGACCTATGTATTATAAAACCACTTTACTGCCGTCTCCTTAATGTATAGTGTATATTGTGTGCACTAATGTTTAATTATGCCTCATTCCTTCTCTACTTTTGACTTGTTTGCACGAGAGGCCAAAGCAGTTTCCTTTTCTGTGACCTCCTGTTACTTACATGGCAAAAAAATTAATCTGATTCTGGTTCTGATGTAGACGTTCAAACTCCTCTCAGAAATGGACCATGCCCTCTGGAAGTTTAATGAAGGCTCTTCTGATGAGTATTTCTGCTCCTTGACTAAATGTTGGTACATTTAGAAATTTTCTTTTGAGATGAAATAAACATGAGGGTTTTATTTGCAATGTATTTCAACCTTTAACCAGATTCTCCACTATCAAATCCTGGCCACGGTCCCAATTCCTATTAGGCACACGGCAGCGAGTTATCTGGCTTTGTCCATTCCACTACAGTCCAGGGGTCGATCACTCATGCTTTTATTTGCAGTTGTTCCAAGGACACCTAAGTACCGGGAGAAAACCCACCTAGGCTCAGCGAGAAACATGGCAACTTGATACAAACCTATTGTGAGGCATGAGGGCCAATCTGAGACTGGCAGGACAACAGCGTGTCACAATGGATAAACCCGGCCTATCGCTTGCTTGTCTCACAATGATTTCTTTCATCTTTTGCAGCATTTTGCGACTATTTCACACATTGCACTGTCACAGGATCAATATCTGTATGGACCAAGGATTATAGTGTGGTGTTTGCATTTGTCTGTGTAAATTCCACTAGAAACACTTCATACTTTAATATCGAACCTACAGTAAAACATTATTTTGATGTAGATGTGTTTTGAGTGGGCTCCCCTCCACGTAGGCTTTAGTTTGTCCTCCCCTCAGTGTTTGCAGTGGTGTCTCTGCGCTGAATGTGAATCAGGCCTGAACACTTATCAGACGCTAGAGTTGACAGTGTGAGTGATGCACCCATCATCTGCCCCACCACCACTGACACAAACAGAGCGTTTTCTACACTGCAAAATGAAATGTCAAATGCAGATTATAGTTGTGATGGCTCAGCACTATCAGAGATTGTTTCTAACTGGAAATGAATGACTTTCTCTCGCTTTTGAACGTTCTGTGTGATGAAGGCTGCGTCGATAAGGAGCGATGGCAATGGAGTTTAGAAATAAACAATAAAAACCTTTCAACTCTTTCTGATAGAGTTAGCAGAGCTGAAAATGCGATAGTAAATTATTCTCTGTGTGTGGCTCAGAACTTTAAAGGGTGGAGTGAGTGTTAGTTTTACTCCTCTTTCTATCACAGCCTGTTCTTGAAGCAACGCTGGATTGAGCTTGGTCTATTCTGGGATGGAAGATCTTTGGAAAGTGGCTCTAAATATATATATATGTGTTGTTGTGTCTTTGGGCAAAACACTTGACTCACTTTTGTTAAGTGTGTGGCGTGTTAGTGAAGGGAAATTCTAATGTTCGCAAAGGGCAAAATGACCTTGTCTGTTACCAGTGTGTTTGCAACCTAAAATCCAACATGTTCTGAAATTTATAACGTAAACCTGAAAACAGCTTTGCTTTATAAATTTGTGAAAAATGTCAATTTTATAAATGTTTCTATTATTTTTCAAACATAAAAATATAAATCTAATTGCAATCATGAATGACGGATCATTATGAAAAATCAGATCAAAACTAACTGCTCTAGTGTGACTGATGTTCAAGTAAATTCTTAATGATAAATGATTCAGTGGGTAAAGTAAGCATACATATGGATTGATTATAGAACCCCGAAAGCGACAGTACTGTATGTACACTTCACTATACATGAATAACATTCCTGTCCACACTTTTACAGAGAAAGTTCACTCAAATGTTTTCGCCTCTTTGGGGATTTTGTGTCTGGCCCCTTCCCTCCTGGAGCGTTGTGGGGGTGAGCGTTCCCAGGACAAAGACAGGCAGGGGTGTATAATGGAGTGAATAAAGAGGGCCAGAGTGAGACAAAAGCCAGCGGGGGAGCGAGAGAGAGGGCTCGTGAAAACATGAGAGGCGCTCGACATGTGCTCGTCAACGGAGACTGTGAAGCTGGACTTATGCACGTCCAAACTCAAACACAAAAAACTTTCACAACACTTTTGGACTACTCAAACTCTCATTCCTTGTCATTGTGGCCATTGCTGTGTTCCCTGTATGTTAGGTTGCTTAGGAGTGTGGATAGTTGCTTTGCAGTAGGGGAGTTGCAAAGGGTCCCTCTCCCCCCCGCCCCTAGAGCACATGGTACGGTCCGTTCAAAGCTTGCATGTCATCTCACTTTGTGCTGGTCCTCTGGAAGAGCAGCTGCTTCTACACACTCCCACTCTGTTCCTCTGACGCTAATCTTCCTGCTTTTTTCCCCCCTCACACTGACAAGACTTTCCAGTACGCTGCAGTGTGAGGCAGACCAGTAGAAGAGGAGTGTTTTGAGTTTTAATGTGTGTGTAAAGTGGGGAAAGTGAAGTCCAGGCGCAGGTGGTGTCGCACTGGGCAGGCTGATGCTGACACCATGCCGCTGCTCTGTGTGGATGTGCTCTCTAGGGGAAAATCCTGAAAATGATGGAGGACAATAAGCAGCTGGCGCATCGGATCGACGGGGCCATTCAGTCGTCTAGTCGCGAAGTGACAAACCTGCGCTCCGAGCTGCGTGCCACCAGCCGCAGACTGGCTGAGCTGGACCCCGGAAGCCCCCCGCCCCTGGAGAACCACCACCTGGACTACAGAGGTGAGTCCTTTGCTATTAATACTACAACTACTACACGTCTTCATCTGTCACTTGTCTGTCAGTGTGTGCACTGCATGAACAGCTTTGGAAATATTTCTCAAAGTTTTGTCTGACAACTTTTCTACTGTCTATGTATCAGCTGTCATCAAGTTAACAGGACTGACTCTATAGGACTAAGCCAGGACTTAGCCAAGAATAAGTGAGTACTGAATCAATAAAGAAGTCATTGATTTACAGGACTAATCCAGGACTAAAGATAATCTAAGATTGAACTAATAGAGGCAAAACATATGTAGAACTGGACTATATTTAAATCCATAAACCAAGAGAAAACCCTGAAATATACCAAGACATAATCCAATTTTAGTCGCAGTGTTGGCTTTGTTTGGTCTGTGTTTCAATATGCTGAATGGTAGACTTATCTGAGACTAAGTAAGGACTAAACCAAACACAAATCATGACCCAAAAGAACAACATTGGACTAAATCAGAGCTAAGACATTATCTGCATTTAACCAGGACAAAATGGTATTCCTAAATGTGACAATAATGTGCTAGTTGTCCATGTTTCTGAGTTTGAAAACCACTTTTGCTGTAGTTGCGTTTTGCTGATGTTAAAACGCCCTTACATAATGTTTCCAAATTTTTTCCCCATTTGTCTGAGAGTGCTATGAAATCTAGGGTTTTTTCCGCTGGCCATGGAGTACTGGAGACAAGAAGCTTTGGCACTAGACACTTTTTGGTTTTGCGTTGGTTTCCCGGGCAGCGGCATGATTTCTTTGGGCTCCTCTCGTCTTTCTTCCTAAACTTCACTGATCTGATGAGTGAAGAATGAAAAAGTCTTCACAGAAATGCCCCTGTGGCTTGGGTCTGTCTCCTGTATTCACTGCGGACATGAATGAAAAGCTCTGTCTGTTCTTACAGTTTCAATATTGCACTGTTAATGATTTGTGCTCGCTTAACTTGCTCTACAGCCTCGGTGACATTTAGCTGGCATTTGTGATCTGTGGGTCCGGCTGTAGATATATTTTAAGTAAAGTTTGATGACGGAGGATTTGGTGTTTGCATGTTAATTGCAAAGTTGACTGATTTCTTATTGTTATGACATGATGTTATGATACTAGGCCAATTGTGTGAGAATGATAGATTTATTATAAATACACTGATGGATGGTTGATAAGATGTAAAAATATGTGTAATGGAAATCGCTTCACTTTTGGCATGATCAGAATCACCATTTGTAAAGTATGTGCTGTCTCTGGTTGTCTTTTAGTATTAGTAATCACAAGGTGGGGCAACATTCACTGGATAAATTACACATACACTGAAACTATTGAGCTATCTTAGTACCATCAATACACACATGGGAAGATTGTTATGATGGATTAGTTTTATCTTTATCTGAAAGTACAACTTACATAAACATCAGGTTAGCATTATCTTCTGCAGCAGATTATCCATTGGTTTTCTCCATAGTACAGTGGCGCAACGGTGAGCGCCCACAACAATCTGTGAAAGGGGATCTATAAATAAAAGATTACTTAATTGAGTTAATTCATTTTTTAATTTTTATTTCTATGGTGAAATATGTTCTCAATTGTTAAGCAACATGGCAACAGTTTGAATACTACAATTCCCATAGGGGGAGACCCTAGCAAACCGTGAGAAAACAAGTTCTCATTGAGTAAAAGAAATCTCACTTCCACTTTCCAATCCTCGCATACTTTCACTTGTGCCGTGGCCTTGTGTCGGGATGTGATGAGGTTCTGCTTTCGGTCTGCGTCTCGGGGCCTGTTACATCAGGAGCCTGAGGTGAGACGGATCACAGCATGAGAGCTCGCGCTGTCAAAACCCATTACATGACGCCTGGTTCGACCGTGCGCCGTTCAACAGCAGGTGACTCTCCGAAGCTCTGAGCGCCCGCAAGGCCAAGGCTACTCTGGCTGAAATCAATGGTGTGTTCAAGTGGAGGGCAAAACATTGGTGGCAAGATTATAAATTCATTTGAGAGTAAGAACACACAGTATATCATTTATAAGAATATTTTTCAAAGGATTGGAACTGAAGGGTGTTATTTTGTCTTTTTTTATAGTGTATATTATGGATTATAAAATTGCCATCCTGTGTTATGTGTATAAAACTTGTGACTATTTCGGCCAAGGCACTGTGAACAATGACTTTCACACAATGGACATTTCTTGACAGCACTTATTCATTCTTGAAATGTTTTTTTTTTTTTTATTCATCCACATGCAAGTACAATTGACAATTCTTCACCCCATGCAGTTTGACATTTAACAGTGGATGGTACACTGGGCTGTTGAAAGTGTATTTGTTAAGATTGGAAGTGCCTCAAAAATTCCTCTGATAAGTTTTGAATAGTAGGAAATCCTTATCGGAGAGAGAATATTTGGAAGTCACGATGGAGCCTTCCACTTTTAAGCTGTTTCTATCCTTAGCTTATGTTTATATTATGTAATTCTTACTCATTGAAAGCAATAGCAACAGTGAAATTGTGTTTCATTTGACTGAAAGAATACCAAGAAGAACATGTGTTTTTATCTATAGGCTACAGATTGTTTATTAATAGACCACTAACTTCTGCTTCTTTGCGGCAGTGTTAGGAATGCTCATGTGTGCGCATCTACGGGATTACATTTACTGATTTGTTAATAATAAAGAATCGGATGCATTCAAATAGGGCATCGACAAGAGTTTGCTAACATTTACAGAATCAATAATGAAAATTGTGGGAAATGGCTTCTGGCAACCTCCACCTGTTTTGGCTGTTACCCTTGCATTTGGCACTACAGTATGAGCTGACTGTTGTTTTACTTTTACCTATAAAACATGTATGATTTGACAACATTATATCGTTTTTTTTGAATGAATGTAAAAATATCCACTTTTCTATGCTTTGACAGCACTTTCTTGTGGCCTTGTACTTACAAAGGGTCAAGGTCTTCCATTTTTAACGTCTGTGGACTGGTATGTTTCTTTTCTGGTTGTTCATAACCAGTATATCATAAGGCTTCTTGGGTGTCATACATTAGAAGTACAGTATATAGAGGACAAAGAACTCCACCCAAAGAACTATTGAGTTCTTTGGGTGGAGCGCAATCATCATTTTTTAATTTATGATCTGTGAAGGAATGTTAGAATTTAGCATTACCCACGTGCAGAAACGTGAGGCTGGGTGCAGAGTCCCCCTCCTCTCTTTCTCTGAGGTATTTGCTGTGTCCACCGCTCTGGCCTCTGTCTGGTTTTCCTGTATCCGCGGTAACGGCAGCAGCAGCATTCCCACATTCCCGAGTGTCAGTGCAGTGATGTCATACTTCCTGTTCCCAGAGGCCCCGGCTGCAGTCAGGTGACCCCCCTGGCCCCGCATCAAACCAGATGTGCGATTAACTTACATTATGGCTTAAGTGTGCTTCAGCCGATGTATGTTTACGTATGTTTATTTACTCATTTGAATTGTACTTCAAGTCGAAGATTACGTTGCATAAAAATGGATTGTTTATTGATCCATCCATCCATCCATCTTCTTCCACTTCATCCATTTCTGGGTCAGGGGGGTGGCAGTCAGAGCTGCACCCAGTACACATAGCACCAGCCCCTCACTGATCCTCCTGCAGGTGGTGAGTCCACAGGAGCCTTTATCTTTCAGTGGGGGCTTCAGGCAAAGTGCGAAGTGGGGTTAAGTGTCTTGCTCAAGGACACAACGACAATAGACATCAGTGGGAGTCGTGAAGTAGGTCTTGTGTGGGTTCGAACCCACGACCTGCAGGCCCAAAGGCCAACGCTCTACCAACTGAGCCACTGTCGCCCTTGCTGTCGGATTGTGTATTGGTTCTGTGAAATTTGTTTTGCAAATTTGTATTCTGGTTAAGCTTTGTAATTTATTAAGACTTTATATTCCGTGTTAGGATCAGTGAAACGTGAGAAAGCTGGATTTATCTGTAACTAATATTTATGTGATAATTTGATACATTTGTATAACTTCAAAACTACTCTCATATTGTCAATGTTAACCCCTGCACTACACTGATTGAAATGAACTCTGAGGCCTATATAGAGGTGTGGCCAGTGTAAACATTTTTATTTTGTTAGAGCGGTGGTGGAACGGATTTGGACACAACTCTGCACCTGTTGATTTCCAGTGCTGATGAAGTGGCACACATTCCTGCTTCCTGGTGTGTTTATGTGAACAGTAGAGATACAAGGATGTGTTACGGAATTGTCCGAATAAAGGATCTCATGTAAAGGAATATAAAATACTTTTATTTCACTGTAATTAGGGCTATAGTCAGACCTAAGTTTGAAGTTTATTATATTGACACATTTTTTGTCAAATAAGTGCTTTGATCATCATGAGTAAAACAACCTCATTATTAAATCTTGTGACCAGTTTCAACAGTTTATTATCAGCTTTGTTTTGCTCCATCACCTGTTGTTACTGCATACTTGCTTTCCTAATTTGTAATCCAAGCCTAAAATCCTCTGTGTTGTTTTTGGTGCCTGTGATTGTCTGTGTAAAGCAGCCTAAACTGTCCTCTGTCCCAAGAATGTAGCAGCTAAACAGTTTCCACAGCCAGGGATTTGGGGCATTGGACAAAATGTACAATGGAAAAAGCCAACACAAAAAGACAGATTTGGTGAATCCTCTCTGTTCCTGGGCAAAGAATAGAAATGCAGAGTTTACCACAGGTCAATAAGCAAATTATTGATCTGATTTAAACTCATCAATGAGATGCACATGTAACTATTATTTTTCTTTTTTCGTCCAAGCCTCTGGATGCTGTCTAATTACAAAAGACCGTACTGCTCACAGTACATCCTTTACTCGAGAACTGGAAAATTGTACGTTGGCTGAGCCCGTCTGCGAGGATTCATCCCTTAATGCTTGAAAAGTTTTGTGGAAAAGAACTCCATATCTTTTGCCAGTGCGGGTTAGAAAAACCCTAGTTTACATTGGGCAGTGTTTGTTATATTAGTATCATAATTATAGCAGCCATCATTAAAGCTGTCATGGAGAAGCTTTCAATCGAAGCATACATATTTACAACTTGATATTTAGCATCTAACATATAAAGTCTATATTGCTAACAGTGATATTGGCTTGTATAGTAGTCTTACTTACTTAACCTTGACCTATTGTAGACTCCAGTACAGTTACAATAGTGCTAATAAAGCCAACATTCTGTATTGTGGTTCAATTCTGCGTAACCATACTTGCATGCGAAAGCCAGATTCCGTCAGACCTCTGAAGATGTGCAGTGCATGGTCTGGTTGGTACAGTGATGGGAGACAGTTGGACACCAGTTTCCACAGTGGTGAGGCTGCGGCTGCCAAACTGTTGTTGTGTCCTGAGGCAAGACACTTCACTCATATGGCCTAAAATCTGTCTGGTGTGTGTGTGAATGGTTGGTGGTGGTTGGAGGGGCCGATGGCACATACTGGTTGCCTCGTGTGCCCCAGGGCAGCTGTAGCTATTATTAGTTTTTCACCACTGTGTATGGAGTGAAGGAATAATGACATGTGTCTTTGAGTGTCCTGAAAAGCGGTATATAAAAGCGATGTATCACCATTATTATTATTATTATTATTATTATTATTATTATGACTATAGTTACAAAGACATTTTCTCTGTAATGGAAGTTATTTTTTTACAGAGAAAGAGGAAATCTATGCTTTCTATTCAGTGGATTCACTCCTACAGGCCTTTCTTATCGACCTGTCCATTTCTCCATCACCCCAGTGTCACAGAGTCATAAATCCGCCACAACATAACCAACAGCTGTCCGACGTTATTCTCCATCCTCTGTGCAGGAAATACAGATCCAGGTAGAGCTGTGTGAGCATAGTTTGTCCTTCAAAATCAATGCTGGACGTCCGCTTGTGTGTGATACATGATTTATAGACAGGGACAGCTCTATGTCTAGTGGTGAAGAGCCGTTCTGGGACTCTGCCAATACAAATCCATAAATCTGTGTAAACACGGCCCACTGTCTGCAGCCCACTCGAACAGCAGGGAGGGATCAAAACAACGGCTACTGACATCTTCTGGCAGAATTAAATGTCTCTCTTTCTGCAATTGTTTTTATACTTTGATTGGATAGAATATCGTAAAGGCAATGTATTCTGGTCTTGTAGCTTCAGGGAGAAAAGGGCAAAAAGTGATTTTGTTGGTGGTTAAAAGCAGCCAAACATGTACAGCTCAATAATACGCTCAATAATGAAATTCTAACTTCATGAAAAGGTTATGATGTCCACCACAAGTGAATATACTTTAATAGGGTGATTGGAACACAGTTTACATAATGACCAATGCTTATTTAAGAAGTTATGGTTTACTTCGATTAAAAGGGTATATCACTTGGATTCCCTTTAGCTTCCAGATGTGGTCGATAATCTTCCTGCTGTCCACTCCACATAGGATTAATTCACTTTAAAACATTTAAAAAACATTTACAAAACAAAATATCCCAAAACTGGATCTTGCACTATTTTGTTAAATTAGGGTCTGTCACATCCTTTGATCAGCTTTTTCAGACTGAAAAGTGATAAAAAGAGGACCACCTTCACTCTGCTGTCCGGCCAAAGTGTCAAATAGTGACTCAGAAGGCTTTTTTTCTTTTCTTTTTTTCTTTTTTTTTGTACAAATTTGCACAACATAAAATATTTTCTTTTAAGATCAAGTCTACATGTGTGATTCTGCTCACATGTCACTTTATACTGTTTACAAGAATGAATTATTGATGAACATGAAAAGAATGTACCCCAGCTTTAACAATAGATCAACATTTAAAAATTATCCTGGTTGAAACTTGAAATCAGGTTAACAACTGTGAAGCATTCCCACTAATAACCTATTTTTAACCTGTCTTTATACAGTCCTTTGACAGGGGAAGTGCATTGAGGAGGAGGTTTATCCTCTGTTGTGCTTTTTGTTTGGACTTAGTTTCTCTCAGACCACAGACTCCGGGCGGGTCTCACAACTATCATGACGACCAGACAGAGGTATTCAGGGGGATACCCGCGCAGGGAGAGGGGCGGAGGACCTCTTTATTATATATTCAGAACATAATGGGTAATGGAAACACTTACTACTTACTTACTCATCAGTTCACTTTAATTAGCCCTACCAAAGTACACAAAACTAATGAAAACTATTGATTCATGTGATAAGTACCTTAAAAGTCATCTGTGATTTTTATAACCATTTTTATTTCAACTCCTCTCTCTTCTCTCAACACCCTTCCCTGTCAATACATTGCCTCAGGGCGGAAAGGCTTTTGGATAAGTTGAAAATGCCTTGGTTTAGAAGAAAGCCCTTTCTACAAGGTCATCCTGAGTTACTATGATTAATAATGATACTAAACCTTAAACTGTTATGAATTATTCAACTTCAACCAATTGCTAATAATTTAATGTATGCTTAATGAGGTGTGTAATGATAAATATGTATTAATTTGTGTAGCACTTTTTAAAGACTGTTTACAAAGCGCTGCACAGTCAGCATAAACAATCAAAACAGTAAAAAACACAATAATAAAATTCAAAATAATGAACAGTAGACAAATCTAAGACAAAGTGGAATAGTAAAATACAATGTGAAGTTTAAAGCTAACAAGTAAAAGCTGTTGATAAAAGTGGGTTTTAAAAGTGATTTAAAGTTAGTTATCATAAAAGGTTACCCATTGCAACAATATTAAAACTGATCACTACTACATTCCTGCTTTAATGCTATTACGTTTTATTAAAACTACAAACACTATATGTATGTGCTGTCTCGTGGCTACTACCAGTGCTACTATTAAAACTTTTGTCTGACACTTCTACCTCTTGCATGTGATTCTTTTGAATACACTCTGATATTATGTACACAACTTGCTTTGTTTTTGCCGTGATGACAGAAAATACACATCCAGCCACTTCAAAATGTAAAGACAACACATTCCTCCAAATATTTATTCAAGTTGACCAAAAGTATCTGGTTGCTTTTGTGACTGTACAGGGGAAGGCGGGTGGTCCTTGGAGAGTTTTGAGAGAGTTTGTGGTGGGTGGGATTTCTGCACTCGCTTGGCTCTTGTGAACGATAATGTAATGAGAGACTTTGGGCCTCAAACTCAGGCCAGATGGAGAAAAGGAGATTCTTCCCTGCAATTACTGAGCAGCAACTAAAGCATTGGACTCGTTCGCCCCCTCTCATCTACCGAACATGAGGATTATCAGGGGAACACTTAATCAAGTGTTTGGAGATGTGAAAAAAACAAACTAAAAACATGATGGCCCGATGCAGTGCAGCTTTGTACCATAATGTATCAATTATTCAAAATACAAGACTTCTAGGTTTTCAGTATGTTGTTTTCATAGAATAACTTGTAA